TTTTTTTTTTTGTATCCTGCAGGTTCAAACTCTTTACGGAGACCAAAAAATGTATAAGGGTATGATAGATGCAATTTTGAGGATTTTAGAAGAGGAAGGCCTTGCTGCATTTTACAAGGGATGGCTCCCATCAGCCATAAAGGTCGTCCCTGCGGCTGCGGCAAGTTTTGCGACGTATGAAGTTGTCAAGCACCAGGTCGACTGTCTGCAGAAGACAAGTAAGACGAAGTCTGTCATCGACGAGGACTTCTGGAAGCGTCTGAGCAAGTGTTACGGTGAGATGAAAAAGAAAGAAGTTTACAGTACGGCTTGATGCTGCGTAACCCTTTGAGCATACTCGCAGTAGGATTTTCGGGTACGTATTCAACCACAATTACTGCCAGATTCGGTTCAAAAAGTATAGTGTGTTAGGGCCCTGTGAGCATACTGACAGTAGAATTTTCGGGTCCATATTTGACTGCAATTACGGCCACATTCGGTTCAAAAAGTAAAGTGTGAGCAAGTGGGTTACGGCGAGATGAGAAAAAGAAAGAAGTTTACAGTACGGCTTGATGTTGCGTAACCCTGTGAGCATACTGACAGTAGGATTTTCGGATGCGAATTTGACTGCAGTTAACGGCTAGATTCAGTTCAAAAAGTATAGTGTGAGTGCGGCTCCATGTGTTGCGTAACCCTGTGAGCAAAATCACAATAGGATTTTCGGGTGCGTATGTGACAGCAATTACAGGCAGAATCATTTCAAGTTTCAAAAAGCATAAAAGGGTTGTGTTAACATGGCCTGAGCCACCGAGATGAACCTTGCTGAAGGCGTCGGTGGTCTGCGGTTACTCCAAGGGCGTGCAATTGGTGCTGTACATGCATCAGAGAGGAAGAGGGCCTTCGGCTTTTCCTCTGTGGGCATGCTCACAACAGGACAATCTGGTGGGTGTATTTGACGACAGTCTTGGCCGGTTCAGTTTTAAGAAAAAGGTGCAGTGTGAATCTGATCCTAGCCACCAAGAGGGACCACATTCACAGCTTTATCATCGTTGGCGTTTCTGCACTTAATGACAAGGGTTTGCCACTGTGCGAATCAGAGCTGGATGGATGGGATGGATGGAATGGATGGATGGAGGGATGGATGAGATCGGACCAGACCAGACCAGTCAAATGGATGGGGGGGGGGGCGGATGGGCGGACAGGCGGACAGGGGGGTGGGCTGGGGGTTTAGGAGGTGGGCGAAGGTGGGGTGGTGGGCGGGGGAGTGAGCGGGCAGGAGAGTGGGACAGCAGTTGGGCAGACGGTGGGCAGACGGACCAGTCAATAGACTGATAGATCAATGCATCAACAGAGAGAGCAATAGATGAGTTGATTGAGGGATAATAGTTCATCAATAGGCTGGGGGCTTAGGAGGTAGGCGAAGGTGGGGTGGTGCGCAGGGGAGCGAACAGGCAGGAGAGTGGGACGGCAGTTGGGCAGACGGACCAGTCAATAGACTGATAGATCAATACATCAATAGACAGATCAATAGATGAGTCGATTGAGGAATAATAGTTCATCAATAGATATAGGTATCTGGGGAAAGGGAGGTGCTTTTGCGACAGAAAGTGTATGTGTGTGTTGCCCCCGACAATCATGTCCGTCGTGGAAATGATTGGGAGGGCACAAGTTTGAGTGTACCCACTAATTCAAGCTTGCAAGGAGGGAGGGAGGCGCATCTGGTACTCTGGGTGGGAATGGCACGCAAATCTTTCATCTCTTTCCCCAAAATGGGTCCTCTTGATCCACAGCTGCTTCGTTTGTTTTTTTTTTTTTCGTTTTTTTTTTTTTCAAGGGTAATGGCCTTGAAAGATCATCATGGAGCTGTCCGGTCCTCGGAACTCAGAATGTTTTTCTTTTTTATCGTCTTTTACTCGTCTGCTTCCAGTGGAGTTCGAACTCCGCACCTGGTCTGTATTTCATCAAACAGTTCAGGTCAGGGGGGCTGTACAAACTGAGCTAGGCCAGTTGGTTGTTCCAGGTTTTTCCTCTCCAGGCGTGGCACCAATTTGACATGTCAGTAGGCTTGACCCTTCTTGGAGTACAGCCTTGTCCTCTTGACGCGCAGAGTTGTGTCGGCCCTTTTTTTTTTTTTTTTTTTTTAAGTGTTCCCTTCGGTGATAGTGGTGCTGGTAAAAGCAGACACCACTAGCACCTGAGGAGATTTTTTTTTTTTTTTTTTTTTTTAATGTCCCCTCCGGTGATAGTGGTGCTGGTAAAAGCAGACACCACTAGCACCTGAGGAGAGTTGTGTCGGCCTACCTGTGACCCCCTCGAATACAGCCGTGTCCTCGGGAATGCAGCAGGTTTGCGGCCAGTTTTGCTGTCTTAATTCACCAGTACATTTCCCAGCCGTTTTTCTACGATGCGGCTCCATGCCCATGCAGCGTTTAGCGGGATACCGGCCTGCTACTTTGGAAAAAGTACATCCAGGCAAAGCAGGCCGTGCACGAGATGCGATTTGCCTGGATGCATTTTGGGGGGAAGCAGCTGACCGGCTCATCCCGTCAGAGTCGTTCAGACACAGCACGGATGCAGCTGCGTCGTTGAAAAATGGCTGGGAAATGTGCTGGTGGTTTAAAAATTAAAATTTGAACTTTAAACCGCCGGTATATCCGGGCCTCTTTTGTACGAGGCGCTCTCCCACTGCGCACCAAGCTTTGCCGAAATGCCTGCGATGCATTTTCGTTCTTGTTTTGGCTGGGGCCGCCAGGCAACCCACCCATTCTGTTCCGGTTGGCGGTGGGCCTGAGCCTCCGATTTTTTTTTTTCGGAGAGGCTCAATCATTATTCTCCACTTGGGGTATCGGAGCATCGTCTCAAAAAACAAAAAAAAAAAAAAAAAAAAAAAAAAAAAAAAAAAAAAAAAAAAAACTTTGTATCCATTTCCCCACAAACGGGGAACAAGGTGCGGCAGGCCTCAAAAATACTTTGGGCATCGTTTTTGCACCCTGCCAAACACTTGCCCGCTTATAGTTTTTTTTTTACACAGCGGCCATTACCATTTCAGCCAGTGTCCAAAAATGACACCAAAAGGTCCAAAAGTGATTTTGGGACCTGCGGCACTTTTTCCCCCGTTTAGGGGGAAATGGATATAAAAGGTTTCGTCGCCGGGGGGGAGGTTTTATGACTTTCCCCATAGATATAATGGAATGGTTTATATGGTTATGCTCTTTTTTATCCACCTGCGCTCATAAAGGGGATGCACAACATGAGCTCGCTACTCACGATAGGGAGTGTGAATGCAGCCGGGGAGACGCAATAGTTTTTAACCGGTGAAAGTGGATAGTAACCTGAGTGTCCATTTCCATGGTTATTTTTCTCTCCATATCTTTGTTACTGTCCCTTTCTCTCTCCACCTCCTTCCCCTCCACGACCTCCTCCTTACTCCTTGTCCTCTTCCTCATTTGCGAGCCAGATGCTGCTCGTTTGTGAACTACCTTCTTCACCCGAGTACGATGTACGGTCAGTATAGCTGTATTTAGATCCGAAAGATACACCAAATACAGTTATAATGACTGTACGTTGTATTCGGGGGAAGTATACAACGTACAGTCATGTATCATGCCGGTTTTAACGGATCTCCCAAGCGACAGGTGGCTGGCTACTCTTGTCACGAGTTTTTCAGGGGAAAATAAAGAAAGGATAAGATATAGCTGAAGGATACGGATGGAGGGATAACATGGACAGAGCTGAGTCAGCTAAAGGTTGGCGTTGAGGGGGGGGGTTGCATGTGCACGAAAGGTTGGCGTTGAGGGGGGGAGGGGAAGGGGGGAGAGGAGAGGGTGAGGAGGGAATATTTTCTTCACAGGAAGGTGAAAAGAGATTGTTTGTCTGTGCAGAGGCTGTCTCTTATACACATCTAGATGTGTATAAGAGACAGCACATCATCATCATCATCATCATTATCATCCTTCTCTCTCTCTCCCTCGTCTTACTCCCACATCTTCCCTTTGTACACCCGAAGACCACTCCTGCGCCTCACTGCACAACCAAGCCCAA